AATAGTAAACCTGGGTGTATTGGAACTAGACAGCAGATGCCTAACTGCCATACTTATGCAAATAAATGACTGTTGTCTGCACAAGAAGAAAACTGGAAATCACCTCAGATCCAAATTAACGCAGTTCCAGATGTAAGCTGGGAAAACTAACAAGACATACTGATATCTGTTCTCAGCTGACCAGCCTAGTTATCAATCAGAATCAGAATCAGAATCAGAATCAGAATCAGAATCAGATCAGGTTTATTGCCATTGTCAGTGAACAAACAATTCACAAACTAGGAACTTGCTTCGGTACTAATGTGCTACATATAACATGAATAATAAGATTAAAAATAGAATAAAATAGAATAAAAAAACTAGAATAAAACTTTCAGCGATAAAAAAGGCAGGTAATGGTAACATGGCCGATAACGTGACTTTGTGTCGAGTACAGAAGACCAGCATGGTTGTGTGTTTATAAGCTGTTCACAAGTCTAACGGCAGATGGAAAGAAGCTGTTCTTATGGCGGGAGGTTCTGGTCCGGATGGACCGTAACCTCCTGCCCGAGGGAAGCGGCTCAAAAAGTCTGTGACCCGGGTGCGAAGGGTCAGCTGCTATCCGACCTGCACGCCCCCGAGTTCTGGAGACGTACAGGTCCTGGAGAGATGGAAGGCTGCAGCCAATCACCTTCTCAGCAGAGCGCACAATGCGCTGCAGTCTATGTTTGTCCCTCACCGTGGCTCCAGCGTACCACACAGCGATGGAGGAGGTGAGGATGGACTCAATGATGGCCGTGTAAAACTGCACCATCATCTGGGCCGGCAGCTTGGCCTTTTTCAACTGCCGCAGAAAGTACATCCTCTGCTGGGCCTTTTTGATCAGGGAGCTGATGGATGGCTCCCACCTAAGGTCATGTGTGATGGTGGTTCCGAGGAAGCGGAAGGAGTCCACAGTGGTGACGGGGGTGTCCGTCAGGACGAGGGGGAGAGATGGGGCTGTGACTTTCCTGAAGTCCACAATCATCTCCACTGTCTTCTGAGCATTGAGCTCCAGGTTGTTGCTGCTGCACCAGTACACCAGCCGTCCCACCTCCCTCCTGTAGGCGGACTCATCACCGTCAGAGATGAGCCCGATGAGGGTGGTGTCGTCCGCAAACTTTATCAGTTTAACGGAGTCATGGCTCGAGGTGCAGCAGTTTGTGTACAGGGAGAAGAGCAGAGGAGAGAGTACACAGCCCTGTGGGGATCCTGTGCTAATTGTCTTAGTGGTGGAAACATTCTTCCCCAGCCGCACGCATATAGCAAGATGCACTACAAGCCAATCACAGTTATTCATCTTTTCTTGTCCAAGGTCGCCATATTAGATACTGAGATCAGAAATCTCTAATGTTACTTCAGAGACAATCCAGATGATATTCCTGACTCAGAGTTAGAAATCCACGCATCCAAGTTCAGTCACAGTGTAACAGCAGAGCAATGAAGTTTTACCCTAAAACAATTAAGATCCTACAAAATAAAACATGAAATGAATGTAACAACAAACCCAAAAACAAAATGAGTCTCGCTAGTTTCAGGAGTTATTTTATCTTTTAAAAGCAAAGTTTGATTTTACTTTTTTGTTACAGAGCTGCATACAGACCGTGCATCCAGCAACAAAACAAAAATGGGTCATTTCAAACTCTCACGTTTTCCCCTTTGAATCTAAACAGCTCACTCTCTTGAGTCCAGAGCAAACGGACGGGCTTTCTTAGAGTTTCTGGTAACTCAGATACCCAAATATATGCAACCAGGCACAGAAAAGGACCAATCATTTGTAAAGTGTTCTGTTTAACCTCTAAATGACTTGATAGGAGTCATCACCGACACTATCTGTGGCCTGGTTCATCTCATAGTGAATATGAGTTCTGATTTCTTTGTCTTCCTGGGGGACGTTGGTTCTAGTGGTTGCTGTTCTGCCTGCGTCGGGCCAGAAGCGCAAGAACCACAAAATACCAAAACTGAGCCAAAACACACAGAACATCAAACATTCTGATGGTTTTCAGGTTGACGGGGAATGGAGAAACTGATCACGGGTTTTTCCTGAGCGATGTGAGCAAAGTGGTACAAATTTAGAGCCTGCAAGTATTAATGGGTGTAGTCTACATCTGCAATGGCAATCAGACCGTTATCATCCATTTTCTTGACTTAAATAAACTTCTGCAGAAATGGCATTTCTATTGTTTCAAATAATAAACTTTGACCATCGTCTAGATTAAAGGACATCTTGCCGTAACCTAACCTGTTTTTTAGATGATGGTAAATAGTCTGTATTTGTTTAATGTCATCTTAGGGTTCTGCAAACCCCCCAAAGTGCTTCACAACACAATCAGTCATTCACCTATTCACACACACACACTCACACACGCTGGTGATGACAAGCTACAATGTAGCCACAGCTGCCCTGGGGTGCACTGACGGAAACAAGACTGCAGAACAGCAGCACCACTGGTCCCTCTGACCACCAGCAGCAGGCAGGGTGGGCTGTGTATGACCCAAGAACACAACGTTTTGGTTGCTGGGCAACCCGCTACTGCTGACAACATGACGGTCTTTTCAGGCTCGTTTTTACAAACATTTTCAGACGTTTTAACTATTATTATATTTTGGTCCATATTCATTTTTACACCATCGTCTGCTTCAACATAATACTTCTGCCCTTTGTTCTGGAGGTTCTTTATCATCACCAACAAGCAGTCATTCAGTTAAAATAGTGATGCTGCCTGCACAAAACACAAACTGTCAGAAAGCTTTTTTCATAAAAGAGTTTTATTAAAACAGAAGTGTAAAAAATAATACATTTAATTAAATAATAAATCAAGATGAGGTAAAGTTAAAAGAACTCTTGGGCCAAGAAACTTCTTCTTTTCAATTTATGTTATTGTTAAAAATGCTTTAATAAAAAATCTCTTTGTTTGTTTTTTTTTCAGAAAAAGATCTTAAACGTCATATAAGACCTAAATGGCAGCTCACACTTTTTCTTAAAAAAAGGAAAAACATCAATTTCTACCCATCAATCCACTGGCTGATTATTCTCTAGTTTCTTAATCTAAATAAAACCTTTTGTCTATTTTCAGCAACAAAAACAGGATCTGGGTCAATCTTTCAGACATGTTTGATGTATTTAGTCCAAATTTAGTCACGTTTTGTGAATAACGCAGCTATTTTGTGGTTCCATCACGGAATGACATGGCTTGTATGTGATGCAGCACCTTCTAGGGATCTAGAACCCCCAAGGTGCTTTACGACACACCCAGTCATTCGCTCATGCACATGCACACACTGATGGTGATGAACTACAGTGTAGTCACAGCTGCCCTGGGGAGCACAGACATAACAGAAGATGCCGTAGACTGGTGCCACTGGTCCCTTTGACCACCACCAGCGAATGCAACAGGCAGAGCTCGAACCTGAAACCCTCCAGTTACGGGCGGGCGTTTTGCTCCTCTGCCACCAAAAAACAAAAATGAGTAAAATACATGCATAACACCAGAAACAGTTTAAAGTATAAAGACGGTCTATCTGCATCGACAGCTTGGTAAAAGCTGGCATGGCAAAATCCCACTGTTACTGAACTACACCTGAGGACCACACAACTCAGCTTGGTGGGACACCCAGACAGCTAAAAGCCAGGTCCAACCAGATCGAATGTCAAAAGGGACTTCTTATAAAAAATGTAATATATGATATCCGATCATATTAATCTTTTCTGATTAGTGCTTGCTTCTGACTACCTTCAGACTGTCCCGCTTACTCACATTATATTACGTGTGATATGTTTGTAATTGTTTTACGAGTGCTTTATCCAGTTGTAACACGTTTGTTTTCATATTAATAGAAGAGAAAAGAAAATCGCTCCGCTGTCCTTCACTGCGCAGGAATTACATTCACACAAGAGCAAAAGTGTGAATAAAAAATACATCCTTCCTTCAATTTTCAGCTGCTTCTCAGGAGTCGGGTCGCAGGGTCAGCAGCCTGAGCAGGGAGGCAGACTTCCCTCTCCCCAGCCACTTGGGCCAGCTCCTCTGAGGGAATCCCGAGGTGTTTTCTGACCAGCTGAGAGACATCTTCCCTCCATCGTGTCCTGGGTCTTCTTTCAGCTCTCCTCCCGGTTGGACGTACTTAGAAAACCTCACCAGGGAGGCATCCAGGAAGCATCCTGACCAGATGCCCGAGCCACCTCAACTGGCTCCTCTTGATGTGGAGGAGCAGCGGGTCTACTCTGAGCCCCTCCCGGATGACCAAGCTTCTCACCCTAAGGGAGAGCCCAGACACCCTGTGAAGAAAACACATTTTGGCTGCTGTTTTATTTTCTCATACACTATGGTGGTCCAAGTGGCCAGGATGTTGCAGCTGCTTGTATCCACCACGACCTCGTTCTTTCAGTCACTACCCAAAGCTTGTGACCATAAGTGAGGGCAGGAATGTAGATCTACACAGATCTTCTGGCCCAGCTCTCTCTTCCTCTATCGATCTTGTGCTCCATCTTTCTCTCACTCGTGAACAAGACATGGAGGTACTTAACTTCCTCCAACTGGGGCAGGACCTCGTCCCCGACCTGGAGAAGGCATTCTACCCATTTGCTTTTCCGATTAAAAAAAGAGTAAGGTTAAAAAAACAACAACAAGAAAACAATGCAGAAATACGTGAAAAATAAATACCAAAGATCCAACAATCACAGTGTTGGATAGAGCTATACTAATTTTAAGATAAATACATTGTGCGCTCTTGCTGTTGCCTCTTGGCCAGGTCGTACATGACACTGGATTTAGTGCACTGCCCCTCACACAGAACACACTGTGCTTGTGCAGCCTCGCTTATAAAGCTTTATTGTTAGTCTGCAGTCTTGAGTATGTTTCTGAGCCAGCCTGCGTGTCTGCGTGCAGGCTGCTGCATGCGCAGGCGCTGTGAGCATGTCTGCGTGCAGGCTGCTGCATGCGCAGGCGCTGTGAGCATGTCTGCGTGCAGGCTGAAGGTAGCCCCTCTGGCTGCAAACTTTGGACCAATCAGAAAGCAGCTCTGACTTCCTACAGCAGGAGCGACACAAGTCGACCTGGAGCGCTTTATCTACACACTCTCAGCTTTAAACCAACCCTAACTATGTCTCTTTCACGTCCGGTGACACACGAGACAGCCCGCTGATGTGCTGTTAAAGGGAACGGTCTTTTTCCGAGTGATGACAATGTTGGGTATGTACGTGCCGGACAGATTCTCTCTGAAACCGTCAAACGTCCAGGATGGGATCGGTCTGTACACGGCGAGGCGGGTGAAAAAGGTTGGTAGTTTCAAACCGGAGCTTTTTCACACCTTCAGTCGTCCACAGACAGTATTTAGTTGCCTTAATTCTCACGGTCGCTGTCAGTCTGAACCGAGAGCCCCAGTGACGTGAAGTGCCACGTAGCTACAGGTTTCCCTCCGACTTCACCAGTAGGACTCATTCATGTGTGGGTAAACCAGCAGACTGGCCCAGATGAGAGCCGTGGGACATGCTTCGGGTCCACTAGGAGCCGGGATGTGTTGGCTTTGTCGTTAACTTTAGTTTTAGCCCATGTGAAGACGAGTAGGAGCTTTCTGAACCCGCCCCTGGAAGCCAGAGGCTGTAATGTCCACTTAAACACGTTTCATAAGGAGGATCCTTCTTATCCATCAGAAACAGACACCATCCCTCACACTGATCTCTGCATGGCAGCCAGGACCCGGTTCTGTTTCCTTCTGGTTAACGGCTCCATGTCTGATGAGTCAACTCTGTTTCACCTCCAGGGAGAGAAGTTTGGTCCTTTTGCTGGTGAGAGAAAGCTTCCCAGTGAGCTGGACGATGGCTCCGACACCAGGCTGATGTGGGAGGTGAACACACACACACACACACACACACACACACACACACACACACACACACACACACACACACACACACACACACACACACACACACACACACACACACACACACACACACACACACACACACACTAATAAGGGAATTTCTCAATAATGGATGTTGTACTGCTAGTGAGCCAGATTGAGTCATGTTTGATTTTTCCATCTTTTCTTGCAGGTTTATGAAATGACGGAAAAAGTGACATTTAGTTCCTTGTTTTTATTGTTATTTAGTTCCACCTTCTCAGTGGCCCAGTGATGTAAGTGTCCGCCCTGAGACTGGGAGATCGCGGGTCCCAGTGCCTCCCGTTTGAAACCCAGACTTAGGGGTTGGGTTGAGGTGGGTTAAACCACCAAAAAGTTCCTACTGCTGCCCCAGGGGGTGGGTCAAATGCCCAGAACAAATTTCACACACCAACTAATGTGTACTTAACTTTTATTTATACTCAAAAATAATAAGGATACAGATTCAAACCAGGGCAGGTTTGTTCAACCTATTCAAACCATAATTGTAAAATAATAATTCCTGCAGGCCATCCATCCATCCATCCATCCATCCATCATCCATCCATCCATCATCCATCCATCCATCCATCCATCCATCCATCCATCCATCCATCCATCCATCCATCATCCATCCATCCATCCATCCATCATCCATCCATCCATCCATCCATCCATCCATCCATCCATCCATCCATCCATCCATCCATCCATCGTCTGAACCCACTTACGTGGGGTTGCCGGGGGGGGGGGGGTACACCCTGGACAGAGAGCCAGTCCATCGCAGGGCAACACAGAGACACACAGGACAAACAATCGTGCACACACACACACACACACACACACCTCAGGACAATTTAGACAGACCAATCAACCTAACAGTCATGTTTTTGGACTGTGGGAGGAAGCCGGAGAACCCGGAGAGAACCCACGCATGCACAGGGAGAACATGCTAACTCCATGCAGAAAGATCCCAGGCCGGGAAGCGAGCCCAGGACCTTCTTGCTGCACGGCAACAACTCTAGCCACTGCACCACTGCGCAGCCCGCCAAATAATTAAACAACAAAAAAACCTTAAATTTTTTTAAATAGCAAAAAACTGAAAAATAATTATAATAATAATTTGTTTATGTTTTGCCCAAAGTAATGCCTCATATTAGTAAGAATCTGAACATAAACATGTTGATCAACAACCAGCTGGAAAGAGAAAACCCAGTTGTTCTGGAATCTTAATCTCAGGCCACACAAAACCACCCTAACTCCCTCGAACTCCACTTTAGACATGCCTGGCCTACGGTATATTTTGTGTATATGTGTCCTCTAGGATCAAAATCACTATGTTATTTGAACCTTGAGGGCCATAACAGTAATTTTAGTTTGCCAAGTATAAAAGGCAAATTTATTTTGCTGATTTTTCTGAATGTTAATTTAAAATGAATGGCTTGGTGACACGGTGAAGAACACCAAATACGTAACTTTTTAGTGAAACCACGTTTTACAGCTTTTAAAATCTTTTATTTATTTATTTGAAACTAACTGCAGAACAAAGCAACCAAATAAAATTCCAATGTAAAAAAAACAGCCCAAAAAGGCCTTACACATTCAGGCCAAATGACATAATAATAATAATGACATGATAGCGTAGCATAAACCTCTTAGGCTAACAACATGCTACAAGCTGAAGTGGCTGTGAGGGTTGACTAACGTGTCTACATCACGCCCTCAGCAGAAACATTTAACTGCATCAAATCTGTTCACATTAAGAACAACATGATGTCTATAAAATGCAGCCGTAGGTAAAGGAACAGCTAATGATGCGGCGCTGTTTGTGGTAGCACAAGGCAACATTCAGCAGTCATAGCAATAGCCTCATGCTAACAGGCACTAGCAATGTTAGTGCAACGCCACAGCCAGTGGATGATAGAAATGTAAATAAAATAGTAGTAAAATCATGTTAACGAAAAAAAGATAGAGATAAAAATAAAAGCTTGATCATCGATTACTTTAAAGAGCGAGTCACCCTGCTGCCAGAGTTTCTCTCCACCTCTACACTTCCTGTTTGAAAAATGTTCCTAAGGGAGGCGTCGCCTGGTGGACTGAGAGAGGACCCCTGAGGCAGTGACTGACAACGACTAACAACTACTCTTGTTAAGAATTAGTTTAGTTTTCTGGTAGAAATCAAACATTTAAATCAGAGAACACAGGTGCTTAGACAAGCAGGACTGTGCTGCAGGTCAGTGACCCATGCAGGCTGATTTAATACTTTCATGTGGAGAAGCTGCTGATGAGAACTAGCTTATCTAACACGGGCTCAATAGCCTCTTTTATAAAACTGCTGCCAGTTTGCAGCAGTGCTGAGCTGGCATCAGGGAGCCGTAGGTCGTTCACCACTGGTCATATGTGGCGGTGTTGTGGAGTGATCGTGTCCGTGAACTGTCCGGTGATCGGAGCTCCAACACTTAATGGAGAGAAGCTCCTGGAGCTCAGCAGCGCTCCAGTGGATCATCAAGTGAAACGTACTGCAGTTTTTACTGTTAATGTTTATTGTAGTTTCTGTCCAGAGCTTGGCAGTAACTCCCCACGTGATCATGACACCCCCTTCTGTTGCGCCAAGGCGGAATGTGCATTCACAAGTCTGGCGTTGCAGCAGTATTGCTACCAAGTGTGGCGGAGCGAATCCCGCAAAATTCCCGCATCATTTTGCCGCCATGGCACGTTCGTAAGGCACGGTGGCGGCAGCATTATGCTGATTTGTCAGACTGGCGTGTCTTCGAATAAGGGCTACTGACCGGTGGCCACAAGGAAGGCCAGAGGACAAACCACGCAGGACGATGGTGGCGCAGTGGTTAGCACTGTTGCCTCGCAGCACGAAGGTCGCAGGTTCGAAACTCGGCTGCGGCCTTTCTGCGAGGAGTTGCGTGTTCTCCCCATGCATGCGTGGGTTTCCTCCGGGTACTCCGTTTTCCCCCACAGATCACAACATGCCCTATAGGTTATAAACTGTAAGTCGCTTTGGATAAAAGCGTCTGCTAAATAAATAAACATAAACATAAACAAGAAGCAGAAGAGTCACGTCTGACAGCTCCTTGCATTGATGTTGTTTTCTGTTCCAGGTTCGTGGCAGTAAAGGCGATGTGTTGTATATTCTGGACGCGAGTAATCCTCGCCATGCCAACTGGCTGCGGTTTGTCCATCAGGCGCCTTCACAGGAGCAGAAGAACTTGGCAGCCATTCAGGTACATTTCCACTCCACAGACAAGGGATCCTTCAGCTTTATCCTGAAAAACGAAAATTATAAATAATACAGGAAAAACACAGCAGTCAGCATTGATAAATAACAAATTCTTCTTTCAGACTGGAAGAAAAAACATTAGACCAAATTTTCATTTTTTGTACCTATTCAGATGGAGAAATGAGAGTTTAGATGAGATGTTTGGTTGATTTGACTAAAGGTCGGAGTGAGTTTATGTGAATGTGTGTGAACTCAGGATGGAAATGGAAACAACTCGAGTCTACAACCCCAGAAGTAAACAGAACAACGACATCCATACTGACAGGTCTGAACGATTTAGTGATCAAAATGTGTTTATAGTGTAAAAGAGGATGAAATCATTCACTTACTTTATAAAACATGTTGCTTTGACTCTGGAGCCAAATGTTTAAACCATTACAATCTTTTATAAATTGGAGCAATTTGGGTATAACACTGGATAAGGATTGAAATTCTTACAGTAATTTTATAGCTCCAAAAGACTCCAAACTTTTATTAAAATAACCATATTGACAAATCTCGTGCCAGCTACAGGAGCCAGACGGGAAAATCTCAAGAATCTAAAAGAAAAAGGAAAACAAAACATGAAAACACACAAATACACATTCACACACTCATGAATGGATCTGGGAAACCAGACCTCTTGCACTTCTGTTTAAAAACAAAACGGATTACTTTCTCGTGGTGGAAGGAAAGGAATATGAACGCTTTGGTCTTAGGGCCAAGTTCCTGCCATTAATACTCAAACACACAGTGATTGGTTGGTCTAAGGTCACGCATGTGAGCTAAATCTCTGCGTTTCATCAACAGTGACATTTATTGTTTAGTTTTCCTCCTCCTAATCATTATTTATGCACACTTAGAATCCCATAGTTGAAACAAAATGATGGTTTGATTTTATTAACAGGACCTTAAAGGACAGGAAAGTGAATGAAGACATTTTTAAGGTTTTCTGCCTTTGACCTGCGGCCTCGATCAGGCTCTGACTGACGTGTCGGGCTGTAATGAGGTCAACCGTCAGCCAGCTTCCAAACAGACGTAGTGTGATCCCTACGCGGTGATTCTTCAGCGCCATCTCTTTAAATGAAATGCTTTTGATGGTTAGGATGGAGAGAACATCTTCTACCTGGCTGTGGATGACATAGAGACAGACACAGAGCTGCTGATTGGCTACTTGGACAGTGATATGGAAGAAGAGGAGGAAGAAGAGGAAGAAGTCATTAAAGATGAAGATGAGAACAGTAAAGAGGCCAAGCATCTTGTAGAAATGGGTACATTGGGATTTTTTTATTTGTTTCCTTTAAAATTCCAATTATAGGCATTCAATTTATGACTCCCACATGTGGGAGAACAGTTAGATTCTTGTTTCTGCAGCATGTGTGTGTGTGTGTGTGTGTGTGTGTGTGTGTGCCACCCTGTGTAGAGCTTGTAATAAAGGAGGAGGACCACCCCTGCCTGCTGTGTGAGAGCAGCTTTCCCAGTGAGGAGATCCTGGCTGCCCACCTGCAGAGCCTGCACCAGAGGCCCAGCACGGAGGAGAAGGAGTTCAAGTGCAGGAACTGTGGCAAGAGGTTCCCCATCAAACAAGCCCTGCAGCGCCAGTGGGTTTACAGCTCTGCCACTCTGCTGTTTATCATTAGAACGTGCAATGCATTAACCTTCCATCATTTGATCTCTAAATCTATTTAAATCAATGAGAACTTTCTGAGTTTGTTTAATACTTTAATAATTTAAGCTGTAAATAGCTTCCTGAGGGGGCTCTGTTTGGAGAAATTGGGTGAACATCTTTCTGGATGGATGTGATGTCATCGTAAAATGAAGTTTTTATTATCAATGACCTCAATCAGTTAAAGAATTAGGTCCATTCCTCATCAGCCTTAAAGGTGTGGGAAACCCATTTAATCAACACGTTTGCAATGGTCTTTGGTAGGAATGAATGCCGTGCGAGCCATACTCGGAGAACAATAGCCTGAAAACTCTTGGATCAGCACTGTCGAGTCTGCTGCAGCAGAGTGGCACAGCACAGCATATACTGGAGTCTTATTTCCTGATATCTAGACATCTTGCCTTGCAGTGTAGATGTTTAATCTCAACAAATCACATAAGCCTGGAGGAGCTTCTGCTGTGTGGTGAAGTTGCTAATGCTAACGGTTAGCCTCTAGAAGAGACGTTCTTTGCTGCGTCCTGGATGCTAAACCAACAACAGCCTTCGCTGTCATGACTCCAGATGAGTGAGTCCATGAATGTTAAGTGACAGTGTGACGTAGACTTTTCAAACCCTACTGGTGTTTCTCAGTGTCGAGGCACCGAACCCTAACCCTCGCTCACGAGGATACTGTCCTTCCTTTGTCATAGACCATGCCTAAATGGAACAGACTTGCATAATGTCACGTGACACGGGAGGTAATGTTATATTTTATAGGTACAAGTTTCAATATAATTATATAAGGAGCCTTTTACTTTATAAATCGTGTATATATTTGTTAAATTAAATATGTAAACGAGTTACTACCCGCTAACCACCGAAGCTGCAACTACTAACCAACCATAACTAACTGCTTTGGATAAAAAAAACATTTTAGATATCAACCCGATAACAACAGTTAGTCGACTTACATTTAAACAGGAAATTTGCCCCTGAAATAATAAAAAACACGAGTTTGTTCAGTGTTGCGCTCCTTTAAACAATCCACTTACACCTCTGCCATTGCCACTACCCACAGTAAGGCCATATTGATTTAGCAACCAGGAGAGAGCAGAGCGCATCAAGGCTAGTAGAAGCGTACCATTAGTAGGTAGGACAGGTTCAGGCTTGTGTTATGTGGCGATAAAACATTGATGTATGAGCAGCAGTAGCTCAGAAGGTAGAGTAGATTGTTCAGTAATTGGATACTTCCGATTACCACAGCAGCCCTCGGCTAAAGCCTGAGTCATGCTTCTGCGTCTGCGTCAGTTTGGAGACCCGCAACGCCATTATCCGTCCTTGCGTAGGCCCCCGGCAGGCACGCAAGTACGTACGTAGTCGAGCCCACTTTTCTTAACATCCGTCGAACGAGATGGAGACTGCATGCTTGTGATTGGTTGGTCCAGAAACCTGAGATCACTTCCATCATGACGCCATTCGCCTGTTGTCTGCCTAGTCCTGTGTAGCGGACGGACATCCCACCGACGCCGCTGTCTCCTTTTATGCTCTTGCTGGTATTTTAGCAAGATAAGCATTTCTTCGTCTAGATCACACAGCTGTGGCTACGTTGTAGCTCATCACCACCAGGGTGTGAATGTGTAAAGCGCTTTGGAGTCCTCTGACTGTGAAAGGCGCTATGCAAGTGTGCGTCGTTTATCGTTCGTTCAACATTTTTTACCCACAAAGGAGCAAAACAAAAGCAGTGGAAGAGTCGTGTTGCTGTTAACCAATCAGAGTGAGATGTTAGCATCATATGAATACAAATACGACCCCAAAATCTGCAGTCTTCCGCCCCCCCCCCCCACACACACACACTTCTCAACTAACTTCTACCCCCTGAAACAGGAGCGCCAGTGCTTTTTTATTCCACTGAAAAGACTCGAGGCATTCATTGATACTACTCAGCTAATGTGTTGTCATGATGAATGCCTGCTTTAAAACACCGATTTTTGTACTCTTCCACACAACATAATCAAATGTGACACGTGATAATAAATCATTATTCTGATTATTGTTTAATGATTAAAGGGACATTATGGAAGTGTGACAGCCAAAACATGTATAGAAATAATAAATGTCTTCTTCATACGTTCTCCTGCAATGCCCTGGTCCTGTAGAATGAGCCCTGGCATTTTTACTGTGATTGCCTGTTTTTCTGTAAAATCACAGAAAAAGAGAGATGCTCGGGTCGAGCAGGCTGCTTCATGCGCGTTCACGCTCAGGCATCGCCCTCCGAACCGTTCTTTGAACGTTGTTCCAGCTGTCATCAGGATAGAAATGTTACAGATACAAAGGACGTCACTGGTGCTTTAGCTCGCCTAATAAGACGTTGGGCATTCGTGCAGAAGACCCAGGTTCGATTCTGGATGTGACCATAGTTTATTTAGAGTTTCGTTTTTACATTAATGGTATATTTTTTACAGTAAGATGCCCAAATTTTTATTTGAGACTCGCCGAACGGCATTGAATTCATAGATAAAAAAGATGTGGGTTCAACTTTCATTTTGGAACAATTTTTCAAGCAAGGGAAGGGAATGATCTGAGCATGCAGGAGGACTGACCCATCATAAACCTTTGTCGCTGTGCTGAAGAGAAAGCTACAGAACCACATTATTTAATTAATTAGCTGTGTGTGTTCTCCTGTCCTCTGTCCTCCGGGCCACACACACACACACACACATGCACACACACACACACACACGCACACACACACACACACACACACACACACACACACACACACACACACACACACACACACACACACACACACGGGACTGTCTCAGCTGTTATTTTCGTTAAGGAGTGTGCACGTACAGCATGCGCGCCTCGTGCACGAGCCTACTATTGAAGCTGCCGTTACGCTTTTGGCCAGAGGGGGCGATCACGAGCATAAAAATTCAAAACTCCGTAAAGTCCCTTTAAAAATAAAAGTAAAGTTTTTAAGTTAAATCAGTAAAAGCAATAAAAAGAAGATTACATTTGAAAATCTTAACTTTGGAAAAGAACAATCGTTTAAAAAATGTGATGATGCAGCGTCTCAGAGGGTAGAAAAAATGGTGTCTTTGTTCTTTTATTTCCAAAGTGGTGTTTGATTTGTGTTTATTCCCGTTTCCCACCTCAGTGTTTTGCATTGTTCCGAGTCACTCGATCCATCAGCTGACTCTAAAGCTCACCAGTGTTCCATCTGCCACAACACCTTCGGCTCTGAATCCAGGTATCACGCTCCGTCCACCACAATGTCCCGGTAAACACACCAGAACTATCTGGTGGCTTCAAGCTCAGCGTGTCGTGTGTTCTGCCTTTCATCTGCACAGTTTTGAGCAGCATAAGGAAGCCTGTAAAGGAGACGCCAGGTTCATATGTAAAGCAGAAAGCTGTGGGAAAAGATTCAAAAGCAAGGATGCTCTAAAGAAGCATAAAGGCAGTGTGCATGCAGGTGAGGAGCTCTGTCCTTTGCTTTCACACCCACCGATGCTTTTACATCTGCAGCTTTAGTGCTTTCTTCCTTTTCCTGTGTGCTGAATAAATCTGTTGCTCTGCTGAACCACAGAAGCAGTGCACGACCTCCATCGGTTCAAACATGGCTAATCTTAAAGCACATCTCTAATTAGTCGAGCTCTATAATTGCTGACCTGTGTTTTCTGGGGCGTCTGTCAGATAATTGGACATCCATTGCTATTTATGATGGGATGTAGGGCAGAGGAAATCTGCACAGCCTCAAATGTGAAAGAAGTGTCAAACAGAGATTAGGATGCTAATCTGAGAGGCTATGGAGCTGCGATGTGTGCCTTTTTAACCCCAAGTGTGGTCAGGACTAAGGGTTTGTGTATGTGGGCAGGAAGGAAGTGGTTCAGACGCCACAGATGTTGATCATTTGTTTTAGAATTAGATAAAAAGAAGAATATCACTGGTATCAGATAGCAGGGTCACTGGAAATAGGCTGTAATTAGTGGTGTGTAATATTTATAGATGCACATTTTTAATTTCTATTTTATTTTTTTAGGAAGTGCACGGCGGAAGCTCACATGCACCATCTGCAACAGAAAATGCGCCTCCACTCTGAATCTTCAGGAACACAGGAAGGTGAGCTCAGCTAATCCCAACCAGAGACTTAGCATCAGTTCTGTAAGGATTTACTCGGCTG